GTTAGCTACTTCCAGCATTTTATCACAGTAATGCAAAGTGAATGTACATAATAATTATGATTAATACTATACCAATGAAATAGTAGTGTTTTATCACAGTAATATTAATAATGTTATTGTGATAAAATAATATTGATATACTAATATACATGATCCGTGCTGACTACACATACTGCACCTTCTAAGAAGCCTGAAGTATTTCTCATTTGTCTTGTGAGAAAATGTTTGGCTGCAATAGCTTTATCTGAAGACAGGTGGCTTCAGGAGATGAGTGGCAAACTCCTGGAGAAGATCAGGGCAGAAAGCGTAGATTCTGTAACCGTCACAGAACGTCTCACATGGCTCTGTCTCTACTTAGCAGACAGCCTTCCAGTGGAGGGAAAGGCCAGGCATCCTTGTAGGTTTTCCATAATCCAAACTGCTTCCCCGAAATGTTCTTTGCACTTTGTACAAGCGTCATAATTGTAGGGTCTGTTGGTTCTTCTCGTAGCCCTTGCATCCAGTGCAGGAGCCGGCAGCTAGACAGCATCTTCTAGACATGACAGAGAAGCTGCGCCCACGTTACCTCAACACTACGGCCACTCAAACACAACCTGCGCAATGACACCCCCAGGCAACAGGCCAAGGTGTTAGGCGAGATTTCTCAGGGCCCCTCGATTAAAAACTACGAGTAATCAATGGCGGCTGAGAGGATAGTGAAGCTACTCCAGGGACACCTCCAAAGAGGTCATCCAACCCCAAGTGGTCAGCTCGAAATACATGTACATATGAGACACACTGAAAGTACTCAGTAGGTTGTTGGATGGATGAATGTGTGTGTATAACAGTAGTGATTATAGAAGGAGACATCATGAACTTGAGGGAAAGGGGGGACACAGGAAGGGTAGGGGAGGAAGAAGTGGAAGTTACATAAATAAAGAACTCATGTACGAAATTCTCAAGAAAAAAGTTTAAATGTGTACTAGGCTTTGACACTTGTCTTCGTTTGGGTTTCTATTGCTATGGTAAAACACCATGACCAAAAGCCATTTGGGGAGAAAAGAGCTTCTTTCATCGCAGTGGCTTGCAGTCCATCATGGAGGGAAGTCAGGGCAGGGGCTCAAGCACAGACATGAGGGAACACTGCTTACCGGTTTACTCCCCAGGGTTTGCTCGGACTGCTTCCTCATGCACTCAGAGTCACCTGCCCAGGCATGGCTGTTAATCAAGAAAATGAACCCCCAGACTTGCCTGCAGGCCAGTCTGATGGAGGCAATTCCTCAAATGAGGTTCCTCTTCCCAAGTGATTCTAGTTTGTGTCAAGTTGACAAAAACCCACCAGCACTCCTTTGTTCCTATTTCCCTCGTTTATTTCTTAGTAACAAATGTAGCAATATGACGTATGGACATTGTTGTAGTGTGCTGGGCAAGGCTTTATGTGGGGGGGGGCGGACACAGACACAAAGATGGTGATAATCTGAGCCATTTTAGAGGAGTTCTGAGAGTCACAGAGCCTTCATTCAGAGGCTGGTATTCTGTACTCAGAGCCATCTCTGAGGAGGGCCCCTGAGTCAACGTTGCCCTCTATGGGCCTCTGTCTGTTTCACCGTTAAGAACAGAATTGGTGTTTTCCATTTTCATCTGCAGGGAAGGTGGTGAGAAATTCAACATGGATGATGCCTCTGTTCTTGGACCTCTTCTGTGAACTCAGGCATCTGCCGATACTCAGCTCAATGAAAGAATTCTCTCAGGAATAAGAAAGGAGGTCAAAGTTGAGGGCTCCCCTTGAGTCTCTTCTGGCCCCGCAGACCATTAGAAATGGACAGCAGAATCTGTTGTCCCTATGGGGGTATTCTCCTTGCCCCTGAGGGCCCCACCTCTAGGGTGAAGGAGTCCTTGCTGCTGCCTGCCACTCAGCTCTGCCTTCTGCTCTTTTCTATCTGTCCTTTCTCCCGCCATTAAGTTCTGTAGCTTTGATGTATACCGTGTCATATTCACACCCCAAAAATAAACAGATAGTTCTTGCCATGGGAATTGTAGTATCAGGAAGTGGCTGCAAGGCCCTGGCACTGGTCTGGAGCACTGTCCTCGGAGCCTTCCCACCAAGGGAGTGGTGGGTGTGAGGGTCTTTTTCTGGGGACATATGAGCTTGTTTTCTCTCAGGCTTTCAAGGGAAGATCAGCTGGATTCTTGTAGTGAAGCAGAGAGAAAGCACATCAAGACAATACTTAGATTAACCAAGACATTCCAGGATTGCGCAATACAATTGATGCTGGGGCCAACAGGTCCTGCTTGATTTGAGGAAGGCACATAGATTCTCAAAGCTGTGCTCCCTTCTAAAACTAGTAACTGTAGACTCTACCAGTCAGAGGTATGGCCAGGGCTGCAGGGGGGAGAGGCACCCTGACCACAGCTGCCACTTGCTGAGTGTGTGTCTGTGATCATCACTGCCACCATCCTCTTCATCTCATGGCCATTGTCACTGTGATAATGGCAGCAATGGCGACCGTGATGTCGACAGTTGTGACGGGATGATGCTGATAATGAGGGTAATGACAAGAACTTGAGTTATGCTGGTAACGGTTGTGACTATCATCATCACCACCAAAACCTAAATATTAATGTCACATTACCATCACTTTTGGGATTACCATAATTACGATCATCACATAGACACCAAAATCAACATCATCAGTAGTACAGTCTCTGTAACCATGGCCCTTCTTACCATTGCCACCATCACCAGCATCACCATCACTGTTGCCTTATCACCACTACCATCATCATCACCGTTGCTGCCATCTTCACCATCACTACCACCATCATCACCAGCCCCACCATCATCACTATCATCTTCATCATTACCACTGCCATAACTATGACCAGCATCCTCACCATCACTACCACCACCATCACCACCACCCTCATCTTCACATCATCACCATCATCACCATCATCACCACCATCTTCACCATCATCACCACCATCCTCACCATCACTATGGCAATCATCCCGCCCTCATCCCCATCACCTCTACCATCATCACAGAGCAGCAGCATATTGCCACTATAAACATCATCACCATTACTCTGGTTGTCTTCACCATCACCACAACCATCCCAAACAACACCATCACCACTTCTCTAGCTACCACAATTATTATCTCACCACTGTCTTCATCATCAGTTCCCTCCTCCTCCTTGCCATATGCACAAGTCAGGGTCAGCATACAGTCTTCAGAATGACATAGCTACCTCTTGACTGTGCTAAGGGGGTTTGTGGAAATAGCGTGAGAGGACAGTGGGCGAGAAACACCCTTTCTATGGCTGTCCATTGAGTTCCCATCCTTTTCAACTCTTCCCCTTCTTGCAAGATCTTTGATGGTTCTCAGTGTCTGTAGACAAAGACTCATGGGCTGGTAGGTACTCCATTACTGGAGAGATTGAAGGTAGCTCCAGCAGTATTAAAGTGGCTGGCTTTGACCCTACTGGCACACTGAATGGTGGTCTCTGAGTAGCAGGAGTTTCATCCAGAGGTCTACAGCAAGTGCCCTGAACTGAGCACAGGTGTATGCAAAGCCACAGGCAAATGAGCAGTGAGAGCTACAGCTTCAAAGCAGGTGGTATGGAACCACTGTTTTCCAAGGGCAGCGACGGTGGTTGAGATGGCCACTACCAACCAGCATGCAGCACAGAAAAAAAAAAGTACCCCGGTGGCTCTTGAATCAGCAGATAAAATGGTGGGTGGCCATGACACCTTGTGTCAGCTGCACTGTTTCCTAGCGATGCTCCTCCTGTGAACCAGAATGGGAATCCTTCATGACAAATGGCAATTCGTCACAGAAGAGGGAGAGGTGCAGAATCGGGACATGTCTTCTGGCCTTGCCAACTTGGAATCATTCATGAACGAGTCTCCCTTGATGATCACATTTAGCAGGGAAGTAGCATCTGCTTGTGTAACGGTCTCTGGGAGGCTGCCAGGACCTCTGAGCACTGCAGTCTGCCACGTGGGAACAGACCTGCCTAACACCCAGACCTACCAGATGTGAAGATCTGGTGTCTATAGAGTGGGTGCTAGAATGCAGTGCCAGGTAGAGACAGGACGGGGCCTGAGCATACCAAAGACATCAGCCCTTGGAGGAAGATACTTTGCCCTGAAGGTTTTCCAAACTTACTTGGTCTCTGCTCAGGTCCCATGTTTACCAGAATCAGGGAAGAGCCAGGGCTGTGTACTTTGCAGATCACTCTGGCTGCAGAGTCAAGTCAGCCAGGGAAACTCCTTATTCCCCTGTCCCCGGAAGGCTGTGATAGATAAGGTCCAAAAGGAATGTGGCCTAGGATGGAACCTGAGGCCAGAGCTATTGTCTGTCTTCTCCCCTCTACCCTGAATCACTGATTGGGAGCACTGGAGGGGATGATAGAGAAACCATGAGCTTGGCCACCTGTCTGCAGGGTCAGCAAATGCCTTTTAGGCTCTGGCCATCCTACCTGTAAGGTGGTCCTACCCATCTGTCCTCATCCTGTCAATTCCATGGCCCTGCCCACTGTCGTTCTTCACTGGGGAGAGGGATGGGGCTTCCAGGCCAGGTGACAGAAGCCCCACCCCACCCACATTCTTACACTGATGGGCACTAACTCTACAGGCATCGAGGGACCAGGGAGGACCTTAGGGACAGGAGAAAACCCAGGGGAGACTGCCTACAGGGTCTGCAGTTGGGGACCTACCTTCTGGAAGTCGTGGCTGGGCCAGGTTGGCACCACCTGGGTCAGGCAGTTCCTCCCCCATGCCCATGGCTCTAGAATGGAGAAGCAGAACATTTGTATCATGCAAGGCCAAGGAGGGAGAGCTTGGGAATCTCAGCAGAGCTAATTGAGAGCAGCTAAAGGCAGCAGGCACAGAGTACAATTACCCTTGGCCAGAGACACTGAGAGTGGGAAAGCAAGAGGTCAGGGATGGAGACTCCCTTTCCAGCCTTGGCCCCTCCCACATGCTGACCTTGACCTCTGTCTCCTCCCCTCCAGGTCTGGCTGTGCATCAGATCATCACCATCACCGTCTCCCTCATCATGGTCATCGCTGCACTCATCACAACTCTTGTCTTAAAAAATTGGTAAGGCCTGGGAGTGGTGGGCCATGGGGTACCAAGGGAGCTCTGCACAGAGAGCCCCAACTTTTTAAGACCAGGCCTAGAAGCTGGGAATTTAACCCTGTTGGCCGAATGCTTTCCCAGCTTGCATGAAAGCCTGGCTTCCTTCCCAGCTCCCATAACACCGGGTGTATTGGCCTATGCCTCTAATTCCAGCACTCAGAAGTGGAGGCAAGAGAGCCAGAAGTTCAGGGACATCCTCAGTTTCATGGCTGGGATACACAAATAAAACAGAGACCAGCCCTGCATGGCAGCCGACAGAGCGTGTTCCCACTGGAGCAGGGGTCCCGGTTGACTACAGCCACCAGCACTTTGGACTCTGCTGGGCCTCTTCCTAGCGTACCCCGCAGTGTGGCTCCTGTGCAAGGATACCAGGATATATGTTTCTCCTGTGTCTGTGTATGTTGCTCCCCAGGGCACAGTCCATTTCATACCTCCCAGAAAGGCAAGGAAACAGCAGCAGCCTGCCTGGACCCCTCCTGGAACCCGGCCCTCCACTGAGGTCAAGGCAGCTAACTCAGCCAACCTCTGGCATCGCCTGGAGCAGGAGCAATCTGCTCCCTAAGTAGGTTGCTGGCTTGCTCCTGGTAGCTGTCCTTCCCCATTCCCTTCTGTAAAGCAGCCTGTTTTGAGGCTGGCCTTGCTGGGTGTATACACCAGACACAGCCCAAGAAAAAGAAGTTTCTAGGCTTCCTTGCTGCCCGGAGCTCAGATCTGCCCGCAGCCGCTTGGAATGGCTTCTGTTGTTTGTGAATATCGGAGCTCTGGCTTCCCAGTGGAGCACTGTGCCCCATGATTCCCAGGTATATGTGGCTGAGAAGTAGGGTTCCAGCAACTAGACAAACCCAGAGGTGAGGGAGCCATGGTAGGTAGCAAGGGGGCAGGACACAGCCCAGGACAAACCCCATTGCACTGGCCTGGCACCTGGTAGGCAGGTGGGTCTCTAGTGGCCCCAGGACACATGCGTAGCAAAGTAGCTCTTGCTGACTTCCAGAGTGTGTGGCAGAGGTGCCCCACTCCAGACCCATGTGCATGTGGGTGCAAGTGGCGGTGCAACACCATGGCCATCCCAGGACAGAGGATTTGTGACCCCTTCCGTGACAGCTCAAGCCCCACTCTGGGGGAGCAGCCAGGGACAGGTAAGGAGGGCCAGGAGGCCTCAGAGTCCCTCTGACAAGGGGCCTTCTGCCTCATGCTCAGTTTCAGCAGGGATCAGAGCTTCGCTCCCACCTGGGGAAACAGAAGCAGGAGTAAAGTGAGGACCACAGCAAACAGGGCACCTGGCCTCCATGTCACCTTGCATTCTATGTGAAATCTCCTCAAAGACAGTAGTGGGGTTCCAATCTCTCCTCCATGGCTGATGGGAGTGTGAGGTGGAACTCATCCTGCATGAGAGTGTTCCTTTGTCAGACTCTGGCAAGTATGAACACAAGTCACCAATTCTAGATGTGTTATGGGTAAGGTGACTGCCAGGAGCTCCCTCATCTGACAGTGAACCCAGGAACAGTGAAGCCAGGATGAGCCAGGAGCTCAGCTGATCAAACAGTGAAGCAACCTTCCACCCTAGGCTGTCCCTTCAGGCCTCCTCCAGCCCACTCAGCCCTCCCACAGTGAGCACTATCAACTGAGAGAAACTAAGTCAGCCCGCTGAGTGTCTCTGACATTGTTAGGCAAGCAAGGTCCCATAGTCCCACCACCCACCTCTGAGCTCTCTTGTGATAATGGCCACATTTAAAATTCAGATTTTATATTTGAAAAAAAATCTGATTACTTGATTGTGGTTGGTATCCCTGAAGAGGCTGGGAATTACTATGTAACATAAATGATGCCTGGCAGTGGGGCTTCTCTGTGGATGTGCGGGAGAGATCAGCACGCATGCTCCAGCCCACCCCCACCCTTTATCTCTTTCTTTCTCCTAGCTGCGCCCCAAGTGGGCACACCCGGAGGAACAGCCACCAGCGGAAGATGAACCAGCAGGAGGAAAGCTGCCAGAACTTGACAGACTTCACCCCAGCCCGGGTACCCAGCAGCGTGGACATCTTCACAGCCTATAATGAGACGCTGCAGTGTTCCCACGAGTGTGTCAGGGCATCCGTGCCCGTGTATGCCGATGAGACGCTGCACTCGACCGGGGAGTTCAAGTCCACGTTCAATGGAAATCGGTGAGCTCCCCGTGACCCACTCTGCAAGGCTCTGTGTGGCTGAACCAGGCACTGCCATCTTGTCCAGGCATTCTGTAGAGCTCCCAGGGCCCAGTACAGACAGATGACCTGTCAAAACAATAGCAGTGAAGTAAAATCCACAGAGATGTAGCCACCCCTGGGAAGCAGAGCAGAAGCAGACCCCCAAATGGTGACAAAGATGAATTCCCAGCCCCTCTCACTACTTTGTCCGGAGGCTGAATAGCTGCCCTCTGGCCTTAGGATTCAAAGCCAGCCAGGTACTCACTGCCCTCTGGAGTACCAGCAAATGATGTCTTTTCCCTCCCACAGTCAGTGTCTCTGAGACTCTGTCAATAACATGTCAGCAGCCAGCTCAGAAACACAGCAAATACCGAACAGACTCCAGGGCTGGAACCTCTTATTAAATGCTCTTTTATTATTCATGGGTGATTCCTCAAAGAAGACACACTTCTCCGGCCATCTCTGGAAATGGTTAAGAAACCCCTGAGTCAGCTGCCCAGGGTTTGTCCAGCATTAAATTAAAATATCAATAAGCTATTTTTTAAGTGACTATGCACCCATGCATCATTTGTAAATTAGAAAAAAGAAAGGAGGCAGTGAGCAGGCTGCTCATAGTCCTTGAAGGATCAAGCCCCTCCCCGTGGTCAGCGGCTGGATGGAGAGGGTAAGGACACTGTCCAGCGCCTCCCAAGATGGTCCTCTGGGGCCTGTGGCCATAGGGAGGTCAGCTTTGGATCACTGTCCTCCTTCCATCTCGCTTGCTGCTTTACCTATTGGTAAGGGTGCGGCTTGGACATTCCGGGCTTCTGACACTGGAGCGACCACAGTTCATATGCTCCTGTGCTTCTGGCTGCAGTGAGCAGGTGCACCATGCCCATGCCATGTCCAGCTGTAGTGCATCGGTGATCTGATCCTCTCGACTCTGTTACAGAGCCTGGAAGGATCCACCCTGATGCCTGACTCTGGGCCTGGGACATGGTAGCTGCCTGCTGTGTTTCTGTTGCTTGATAAAAATGCCTTGACAGCAAGCAGCTCAGGTCAGAAAGAAGTTTATTCAGCTTCTGATTCCAGGCTTCAGTCCGTCATAACAGGGATTTCACAGGAGCAAGAGCTTAAAGCAGCCGGTTGCCGTCTAGAGCAGAGAGAAACAAATGCATGCATGCCTGCTAGTTTGCTCCCTTCACTTTTATGTGGTTCAGAATCCCCTGCCTCGGGAGTGGTGCCACTCACAATGGCCTGAATTCTCCCCACAGCAATAACAATGAAGACAGTCCTCCACAGACATGCTCACAGGCCTGATGCGTGCAGTCCCTCACTGCCAAGCTCCTCCCAGGTGGATTCTAGGTTGTGTCAGATCGGTAGTTAACGCTAACCATCACAGGAGCCTGGTTTCCATGATGAAATGGGAGGGACACACATTAGGGGCTGGGTCTTGTCCTTTCTCTCAGGTGCAATATCAAGTATCCAATCTCCGCCTGTGGGTACACAGACCCTGGCTCTGGCCTCAGCCCAGAGCCAGCACCAGAGTTGAAGGATGGCCAATCTTCCCGCCTCCACACCTGAGCCCTCTTCCTCTCTGCTAGTGGGCCTGCAAGGCAATGGTTCCCTTAGAGACCCATCTCAAGAGAAGAGACTTTCCCTGCAGGCTGCCCAGTTTGCCTGCCATGTGGCATACTCAGGCCCACCCACACCAGCCCTCTCTGCTCTCCACAGATCCTCCTCTGCAGACCGGCATCTCATCCCTGTGGCCTTTGTGTCTGAGAAATGGTTTGAAATCTCCTGCTGACTGGCCGAAGGCTTTTTACCTCCTGGGGGCAGGGCAGACGCCATGTGTCTGTTTCATGGTATGTATCGTCCTGGGCCAGAAAGCCCTTCCTGTCTCCTTGTCCCCACCCACCCCCTTCTCTCTGCTTTGGGGTATCAGGAGCCCCCCTCTAAGACAGTTGGTTCCCCGAGACATCCCCTGTGTGGATGCTGGAACCACGGGTCTTTAAAGCACAGCCGAGGCTTTCAGTGAGGGAGTAGCTAGAAGGATTTGCTGCAGTAGCAGCCACTCGGTGCCATGCCCTGGGCAGAGCTTCGAGTTGGAATCACCTTCAGAAACAAGCTCTGGGCACAACATCCCTTCCCTCAGCAGGAAGCCACCAGGGCAGCAACTGAGCACACAGGATCACACCTTCAGCTCACAGTCCTGCCGGGGGCTCGTGAGGGGGCAGGAGTGGAATTCAAATACAGTCTTGAAATATGAAAATAAGAGATAAGAAATAACATGATAAAGAAAGAAAGTAAAGAGTTGAGACAGCTACTAATTTGAAGCTGGAGAACTGGCACCCAAACAGGATGAACTCTTCACGCTCTGCTGCCTGGGAACATTCGGCTTGCTCTGGATGGTATTAACTCGGATGCTAACATTAAATGGCTTCAGTCTGCGTCTGTGAACGTGGCCTCACCAGGAGCTGCAAGCCCACACTTACACATGCTGCGGGCAGTGCCCATGGGGTTCTCGGTTTGCCTTCCTTTCCTCTGTGACACAAGTCTTGCTTTCCTCAAGTATCAGGGGCAGAATGAGCTGGTCTACATGCCCCTTGTAAAGAGGCATCCAATCATTTTCCATGAGGTGATAATGCTATCTCTCAGATAGGACACTAGGACACGGTACCCACAAATATTTTCCTCCGACTCACTGCTCACCTTCTCTGTGGTGATCGAGTGAGGAGAGCAGGGGAATGAGAGCTGGGTAAGGCTCAGCAGTTCTATGCCCAGCAGGCATCCCGCAGGAAGCAAGGAAGCTGCCGCCAGCATGGGAACGGATCGGTCAGTTCTTAATCCCAGCACTAATGAATCGCAAGTTTGGTCCAAATCAAATCTCCAGCCCCCAGTCTCTGTCCCAAAGCCAACATGTTCCGCCAGCAGGCAAGAGAATGTAATTAGATTAGACTGGAAATGAGCCTCCTGCAGAGGCCTTCACCGAGCCTGTGTAGCAAGCACAGCCTTCTAGCAGGCAGGACAAGGAGCCCGTCATATCCTCCCAGTACAGTGCTGTGGTCTGCCAACGCCGTTCACTCCATTAAGCCTGTGGACATCTCTCTTGGATATGCCAGATCAGCTAGGGCTGGAGAGCAGTGAGTCTCCTGTTGCCTGGCAAAGATTGGCATCCCCAGGGTCTGGTAGGCGTCACATCTCTGTTATAGCTTCAAAGTTCACCAAAGGTGGGCGTGGTGCTAATATCTGTAAGCAAGCAGTCACAGAGACTGAAGACAGCCTGGGTACAGAGTCAGATCCTGTACCAATAAGAATAAGAATAATGAAGTCGAATATGTTAAACCATGTAACTTATTGACATGGAGATGCTGAGCTGGCCCACTCTGCCACCACTCTCTGGGGGAGCTGGAGGCCCAAAGGCCACATGTCCTTGGGCAACTGTCATGCAGACGTCTGAAAGGATGCTTTTTAAGTGCAGGAGCTCATTCAGTCTCCCAGCAAGCCCATCTTCAAGGAGGGAAACTGAGGAGGAAGGAAGGCAGATGACTTGGCCATGGCAGTCTAGATTGTCAGTGGTGAGGCCTGGTCATCCGAGGCTGCCTGGTTCTAGGCCGTCACACTGGCCATTCTACAGACAGCTCTGTTCTGCAAACCACTCACAGGGTCTGAGCCCAAGCCCTTCTCTGTGATAGGTGCCTATGCTCACCCCAGGCCAGCCCCAAGTGCTAGGCAGGCTGAGGGGTAGAGGGGTAGCAAGATCTCCTATTAAAGGGGACAGACAGCCAGGCTCCAGGAGGCCCAGTTCTGAGTGCCCCAGGGCCTTGGCTCCCCAGCTCTTCTTGCAGGGAGCTGCAGCACGGACATTTACAAGAATATAGAACTCGGGGAATGGACTGTGCTTTCATTTGTTCCAGACCTGGTGTTTTCCCCTTGGCATCCTCTCCTCCCTGGAGTGGTGACGTTCCCATAGTTTTGATCAGGCCTCCCAGGACACTGATCTTGGATGAGGTGTAAGATGTAGATCTCCAGGAGTTCCTTCAGAGAGCACATTTCCAGACCACTCCTGCCCTGCTGTGTGCAACACGAGGACTCTCTGCGCTCCGTGGAACTAGGTGCTGGTTCTCTTTGCCAAAAGGAAGCTCTCTGCACCATGCTTCACCTCTAGTGACTTTCTGTAGACCCAAACCAGGAGAGCTGTGCAAAGAGCCTCATTAGTCGCTGATAAATGCTTAAAGATCTCATTGCTGTGTGCTGGGCGAGCTATTCATCACTCACTGGGATGAGAGCCTTCTGAGTCTAAGCATCCCCTTATTCTTATAATTAATGCCTGAGCATGAGCAGCAAGCAGAGACCCGCCAGAGAGATCTCTCAGATTTACACGGGCACTTACTGTCCCTTAAATAAATAACAATTAATAGAAAGACATTTAATTAAGGTTTAATAGTCAATAGAGATATTTATCTCTTGAAGAGCCTTTAAGACTTGTAGATGTCTTTTTATTGGTGATGTAGCAATTTCTTTAAAAGAATTTGTTTTATGTGTGTGTGCGCCGTGTGTGTGTGTGTGTGTGTGTACATGCATGGGCATGTGTGGAGTCAGTTCTCTCCCTCCACAGTGTGTTCTTGGGATTGGACTCAGGTCCTCAGGCTTTTGAGGTAACCTCTTTTACTCTCTGGTTATCTTACCCCAGGGTAGCTGTTTCTTCCCCAACACACTCTCCCCTCCCCTGCACGAGACTACTCCCGTACACAAGCACACCTAACTGTGGCCATGTTTTTCCCCTGCAGACAGAATCCTGGTGAAACCCAGGTCTCATGACAGACAAGCTCCTGCTTCAGACAGTCCTTGTCACGTACCATCTCACAGTGGGGGCAGGTAACTCTGGATGATGAGACTGGCTTATTCTACTCCAAGGATGGGGTCTCAGAGGCTCACCAGCCATTTCCTGTTAGTTTCTGCCCCTCCCACCGACAGGAGAGGAAGGATGAATTTCAGAAAACCTCATTACACTTAGTTAGGTTCTTCCTGTTTGCCAAAGCTTCTTCATTCTGAAAAACATAAAGACTCTAGTCTGAAGCAAACAAGAGGTAAATGATTATTAATATTCTTAGGAAGAAAGTGAAGAGCATAACTGATAAATAGGACCTGTCTGAAGCTTCCCCAAACAAAGTGCACCCCTGCTCTCAGCTCCCTGACACCATGTAAAGGGTGGACACAGCCAGTCTGTGAGCTCAGGGTTGAGACTCTCTGGTGATGGTGACTGCGGAAGGCGCCCGACATCGAGCCCTGGCATCTGCTGCACGTGCACTGGAGGGAACACACACACACACAGAGCGCACAGACGCAATAGCCACAGAACACGAAGGAATACTTCTTTCAAAGTGACACGGAGGACCTTCTAGATGCTGCTCTTTCTGACAGCCAGCACAAAGCAGACACAGGCACAGGCATCCTTCCAGCCGCTTCGGAGTGTGGCACCAGACACCGGGCGCCCTGCTGTCTTTGCTGAACATCCAGCCTGTGAGCCCAGGAAACCTGCAGCCCAGTCTTCTAGGCAGCAGGGGGCAGAATTTATCCCAGAATTTATCTGCAAGATGGCTTGCTCTGCAGATACCCCCTTCCGTGTCTTTTCCTGTGGGGTTTAGGCCCACTGCCCGCATCCTTCCTGTCTGTCCTGGCTCCTGATCTTTCTCCAGCTCAGGATGGAGGGGCTTCTGCTCTGAGTCTGTACGGTTGGGGATCCCAGCCCTTCACCTTAGTCTAGAACTGGAGAACAGGAGGGCTGGGAGCTCAGGGTGGGCCTGCAGGGAGGTAACAGCCTCCCCTTTCCCCTCCCTTCCTGGCCTAAGGCTGAGATGGTGCCCTGCCCTTGTTTGGAACCTCTTCTCTCTGCAAAAGTCAGCACTGTCGTCATAAAGGCAGACTCAGTGTCCGAGCCATCAACTAGTTCAGGCTCTCAGTTTTCTGCCTGCAAACATTGCCCTGCAGACTTCCCTCCGGATGTGGCTCCGCATAGTTTCACTGGGATGGTCCCTGTCACCAGCCTTTGCCCTCCAGCTGCACTGGGAGTGGTGTTTGGGTCAAGAAAGACCCGTGTTGGTGCTCCAGAATGGGTGCTGGACCTTGTCTGCCCATTGGCTTCCTTCAGCATTAGTTCCCAATCCACCCAGATGCAGAGCAGGAATCCAAGGAAACCTAAGGTGACCCCCACCGGAGACCTGTACTCAGGGAGGGTCCTGTTGCCAGGGAAATACCATTCGTGCCTGGCTGAAAATCTCAGGACACTCTTATACCTGGGATCCAAGAGGGATAGAGACTGAAGCCTTATCTGGGCAGAGGAGAGGGAGGGACATGGTAGAGGGAAGAGGGTAGGTGGGAGGAGCCAGCACCGAAAGCAGAGGAGAAAGGAAAAGGCTGTCAGGGGGTGGGGCTGTCCTACAGCCTTAATCTGTTTAAGTTCAGGGTCAAGGACTGGACCCCATCCCATTCCCCAGGCGAGCCTTTCTCATGAAGGTGAGGCACTCCTATGACCTACAGTCAACTTTAGATGGAAGCCAGGTTCCATCTGCTGTCGGAGACCAGTTGGCAGAAGCCAGTGCATTTGGTAGCACTTGCTTGGGAGCCTAGCACTCTTAAGGGATCCTAGGACACTGAAGCAGGAACACTGCGAGTGAAGAAAGCCCAGACCAGGCTGCCACAGAGAGACCCTGTCTCAGAAAAATAAAGAAAAGGAACTTAGGTAGGCCACTGCTCCCAGGGTTAGGTCATCAAGCCCAGCCTTTAGTGAGCTTATTTAAAATACGTATCTAATTGTAGAAAAACAGACCTGGGAAATACCATTTAACTTCTGTGTGTGTCTCTGTCTCTGCCTGCCTGCTTGTCTGTCTGTCTGCCTCTGTCTCTCTCTGTCTCTCTCTCTGTCTCTCTCTGTCTCTCTCTCTCTCTCTCTCTCTCTCTGTGTGTGTGTGTGTGTGTGTGTGTGTGTGTGTGTGTGTGTTTCTGTGTGTGCATGCTTGTGTGTGGAGGCCAGAGTCACCGTTGGGTGTCTTCCTCCATTGATACAGAGTTCCTCACTGACCCTGAAGCACACCAATTCTGGTAGGCTGGTAAGATCCAGGGATTCTCCTGCCTCTGTCTCCCCAGCACAGGGTTTATAGACCCACAGTGCCATGCTTGGCTTTTATGTGGGTTCTGTGGATCTTAGAACATTGGAAGAGCAGGTACTTCACCTGATCGGGAGCCCCCCATCCCCTTAACTCCGAGGTTTATGGTTTAATGGCATCAATCATGTCAGACTGTTCCTACTAAAACCTCACACTGAATGCTCATAGTTCCCCTGATGTTGGCATCTCTACAAACTGTACAAATGCCCCCCCCCCCCCCGCCAGCTACCCATTTAAACACATAGCCCAGGTCCCTTGTGCAAGTGGATTCACACAGTACTATCTTTTAACTTCAGAAATTTTCAAATGAAAATGAGCACCAAGATGGCTCTTTTGTGTGTTAAATTACTTCTCTGTTTGAAACCCCTTTACCCTTTGATCCCTGAGTGTGGGGATGGGGTGGAGACACAGCTGGGGGAAGGCCACCCACAGGAGCCTAGTGCTGACCTGGTCCGAGGTCCACAGTGATGGCCAGCCCCACGAGAGCCCAGGGCTGACCTGATCTGAGGTCCCATTCCTTTATGCAAGGTTATCTGAGGTCCACAGTGATTGGCCAGCCCCATAGGAGCAGCGTGGATTCTTAACTTAGGCCTCACAGAGAAGCCAAACAGGAGTCTCTTGGAGATGGCAGGCAAGATGGAGGGCTGTTCAGGGAGCCTCTATGTCCATTCTGAGACTACAGGGAAGGAACTAGCACCTTTAGTCCTCCTCCTTACCTCACTGGAGGGACAAGTGAGAGGCTCTGGGCACAAACCTGGGTCCTTCCAGCCCTGCCCGGAGTTCTAGGATGAAACTCGAACTTGCTTCCTAGAAAGGTCAGTGTTCAGAGCCCAGTACCACTGAGACAGGAGAAAGGATGTCACGCTGGAGTATTCTGGGAGAGCTGAGTCCCATAACTCTCTTGGCTGTAACTGGAGGAGACTCAGCCCAGCTCCCAGACCCTGGCCAGACAGCTGGCTTTGAGGCCCCTGGAGCAGCACAGGGCTGCAAATTTCTGAGCACATTGCTGGATCTTCTGGTCCGGCCATTTGCTGGGCTGGGCTGTGGGACACCACCACCATGTAGGTCACATCCTTCTGCCACCGTCATCTCGGGACCACCGAAGCCCTTGCTTCTGACTTGCATCATCTACAGGTGTGGGGGATCTCCCCTCTCTGCTTGAGGGTCTAAGTGGCCTGTAGTTGTGGGGTGGATGTTTCTAGCAGCGAGTGGCAATGAAGGCCCACACACATCAGCCCATCCCCATAACTCACACAGCACCAGGCAAGATCATCCGTGGCTGTGACGTGATGCTTCCTCATGCCAGGGGCCAGTGCCAACCACTGCACCCTTGCTGGCTGGAAGGCTGAGCTTCTGTTAGCGATGCTTGCACACAGACAGGTCTAGCTGCCCTTTCCTGGCCAGATGCTAAACAGGTTGCAGCTGCTGCCCCCCCCCAGCCCCCTGCACACCATCCCATCCCATCTGTTTCTCTCTTGGGAGGTTGCTGGGGGACCCAGGCTGGCTATGCTGATGGATTTGGAAGTGTGTCCTGAGTCTTGGTCCCAGTGAACCTGTTGCTGGTGGTGGATGGAAAGGGACCCATGGGTTCCTTTTTTCGTTGCAGGTGTAGCAAGCAAGCCCCGCCCTCCACGGCGTAGAGAGGGAGGGAGGAAGAGCATGGCAGGCATGCTGACCAGTGGCATGCCCACTTGGGTGCAGGTTCCTTCTGAGTTAATGGAGGAAAAGAACCTGTCAGAGGCGAGGGGACAGCTTCGCTTCGCCACCCTCAGCGGCTCAACTCGGAGCACAGTGGACACAGAAAAGAATTTCAGGACTGACGGGCAGTGTCCTAAGCTGGGAGTTTCATTGAAGATGTTTTAATACAGGCTTGAGAATGAGGGTTGACAGGAAAAGAACCGCTCAGAAGAAGTTAAGACACCCGCAGGAGTGTGGGTGACTGTAGACTTGGGGTCAGGAGCTTTTGAGAATTTCGCTACTCAGCAGGTTCTGGGCCCCCACCCATCCTGTGCCTCTGTTTCTTTCTTTGCAAGCAAGGGGACAGACTGGCTTCAGAGCTGCCTGGGATGCGATTGCAGTCTAATCAGCTAAAGCCAGGAGCCATTTTGATTGCAAATGGCGTTTAGGACATTTCTTTTCCCTGTACATAAGGTTTCTGGTTACGACTCCTAGAATATGCAGATGCACAGCAGGGAAATGAGAAAGGCCATAACCATTGGTAATTTGCTACTGAGAGACTTCAGTCAGATGCCCAGGGGAACAGCTCTTTTCCTGCTTATGCTCCCCTCCTCCCCCGACACTTTTCTGTATCTCTCTACCTGCCTCGGGCCCAGCCTTCATGGGAGGCTCTGAACACAGGGCTGAAGCCTTTCCTCATGCCCCACCAATCCTAGGTGGCCACAAGAGTGGGTGGGTGTGGGCTTTGCATGGCCAACGAGCATGCTGTGCCTGGAGCCTGCTGCCATTTACTCTCTCCTCTTCTGCCTCCACAGGATTCCGTTGGTGAACTTGTACAAACAAAACAACAAAACAAAAAATTATAAAACCTAAAACTAAACTATCTAAGGGGAGGGTCCCGCACCTGCCACTTCTCTTTGCCGGCGGGAAACTCAGCAGAGGAGGACACCCAAGGCCAAATCTATTTTTGTAATATTGCTCGTGCCTAGGGGCGCTCCCTTCTCCCAGAGTTTTCTTCGGAGAGCAGAAAGAAGACATGCAAGACACGGACTGGAGACAGCAGAGAAAGCCAAGCAGAAGGACAGGAGACAGCTCCCAACGCCTGGGACTCGCACCACGATTCTGAACCTGTGCCAATAATACCACTATGTGCCATGTATTGACCCGGAAGCTCGGCAGGAGCCGAGCCCAGCGAACCACGCGGAGAAATCTTACAGAGGACAGGGGTGGGGGATCACTTCCGGTAGAGTCACTATTTCTGGTTAATATACATATATAAATATATAAATACCAACACACAGACACACACACTTTTTTTGTACTGTAGCAATTTTTGAAGATCTTCAATGTTCCTTTTTAAAAAAAGAATTGTGTTATAGTCACAAAACTTGATTTATTTAACATGCTTAGTATGAACAGAATAAACTCGTGTTTTGTACTTTGGCAACTCACATCACACACAGCACACACACATACCTGCACACACAAACATACAAGCATTTAATATGCATATATTGGAGAAACAGTTCTGCAGGGGACCTGGTATTTCATCGCCATTCATCCAGGGAGACAGCCTCAACCCAGACGATGAGGCCCTCACATGACATCTTTCATCTGTCAGATACTTGCCAAACGGCGCTCGGCGCGTGGCTTACACCTTGGGCCGGAGTTGAGAATGCTGTGGTGTTCTCTGTATGCGTCCACACACGGCCGGTGCTGCTTCTTCATTTAACTGTCTGAAGATGCTAACAGCCACATGCGCCATGTAGCCGACTGCCAACGAGTGAGCCTGACCACCAGGTTGGGTGGGTGGTGGATTCTCGACCATTTGTGTTATACAAGCATAGACTGAACTAAGGAAATTTTCCAGTTCCATAATTAAAGGAATATATCCATACACGGTGTGTGGTTATGTCAGGGCAGCACTCAGGAACCCAGGAGGGATCAAAACTGCACGGCCTGTGTGTGCCCAGCCCAGGCGGCCATGCCAGGTGCAGGCAGTATCCTTCCCGTTTGCTGAGCAGATGCTGGGCTTTTCCTTATGTCCAAGTGTGACCAGGAAGGTTGGGGAAACTGAGGACCCAGTGGTTTGTTTTGTTATTAGGATGCTACTTTGGGACTTCTGCTGGGTCATAGACAGAAGTCTCACAGAAAACCCCACCATGCTGCCTGGTTTGGAATTACTGCCATGCCCAAGGTAGGCATCTCCCTGCAACCTATCTCACCTAAGCTCCCTGTTCCCTAGGCTCACTATCAGGAGCAAGTGCTGAGAGGAGCCTGGTTCTCACTCTTCAAAATTAGATGTGTGTATGTGTGTGTGTTGTATGTGTGTGTGTGTACGTGCATGTGTTGCCTGAAGGTGTGTGTGCGCACTATGTGGGTAGAGTGGCCATGGAACTGGAGTTACAGATGCCCACACTCCCCTGTGGTACTGGGATTGAAGCCGCTTCTCTGGAATGGCAGCCGGTGCTCTGAATGGCTGCGCCATCCACAGCCCACCGAGTCACACCGAGACTGGAGCTCAGATGTAGGGCCTCTTCTCCAGAGAGCGTGCTTTCTCTGCACGGCGAGCAGGAGAGTTCGTGAAAGAACGGAGAGAAAGTCTGCAGACAGAGTTGGAAGGCTGAAGTTGAGACAGGCGGCCTCTCGTGCCCTCAGTTATGTCTAGGTGGCCGTAAACATGTCAAAGCTTCTTCCTCTGGATACATTCTGAGGACACATGTTTGATGTGTCCTCTCACACCTCCCTGAGCATGGGAAAGCACGGCCTGTTGGTAAATTGAGATGCTGCTCTTACAATTCAGACATGTTAAAAATCCGTATCCATGACATTGCTCAAAAGACTAAAAGATGGTTCTTTGGATTTTGTTTTTGTTTCTATTCCCACCCCTGCCCCAGAGCAGGTCAATGCAAACATTTTCCACTGGCCCGTGTTAGCTCCAGGTTCCCAAGATTCTCCCTCCTGCCCCTGCAACGTGCACCCCTTCTGCTCCTATTCCTCCCTCTGTCTTCAAGCTCTCTCCTCAGAGGTGGGCTCTGGGGTTACCATAGTCCAGGTAAGCAAGGGAAGATGAGGGCTGACAGCATCTTTTGGCGGTAGGAGCTGGAGCTCCAGCCAGGAACTTTCTGAGCTGCAGAGGAAGCCCAATCAGGGAGGATGGTGAGAGTAGCTGCAATGTCACTTCTGACGACACCCAACCCCAGCCCTAGCACACAGGTGGAACTCTGGGAACTCAGAGTCCCTCAAATACCAACTGTTGGAAGGAAGATTAAGACAACTCCCAACCCTCACCAGCCCGTGGCAACTCCTTTGGTACACTCAGAATAGGGTTGTGGAGACTGGTTAGGTAGAAGTATGGTGCACATGCCACACCGGAGAGCCAAGGCCAGTCTGATTTCTGCCAAAGCAAACCAAGGCTGCAAGTTCCCGGGGAACACTCTTGAGTGGCCGCCTCTCCTCCCGGCACAGTGTGATATTGCTCAGCTCAGGCCCTATGGGTTCAGGCCCAGTGTGTAAACCCCAGTGTCCCACGTATCTGGGGAGTTGAGGGGCAGTGCCCTGAAGGTGAGTGGTCCCTCTTCTGCCTTTCACCTCCAGAACTGAGTCTGTTAGCCAAATATTTGCTCCAAGGATGGGTCTGTCTGTCTGCTTTGGTTGTTGTCAAGGTATCCAAGGAGGGTGACATTGGAAATGCCAGCCTAAACATGTCCACTTGAGTCAACCCTCTCTGGCGTCACACAGCCACAGGCTGCCCAGCCATCTAGCCCTTCTCCGGTTGTCTACTTGCTTCCCACTACAGCTTTTGAAGTAATTGGCATTGGCTCTCGAAAGCCATTTTGCTACAAGGCCAATTGAATCCATCTCTAGGTGTAGTCACTTCCAATCTCCACACACCAAGAATCATCTTGGTATAGCTCGAACAGGCAAGTGCTTGCTTCTGTTTGTAAGTGCTGAGTGTGTAGAGAGAGATTTATCAGCACAGCCAGGGAAACCTCCCAATCTTCTCTTGGGCTCTCCTTCCGGAGACAGGTCTGAGAGAGGACTAGGCATGTGATACCACTCACCCCACAGCCACTTCCCACACGTGGTGAGGGCACATTGACAGACCCAGGGCAGGTGGGGAGGCCTCCTCACAGGAAAAGTAGAGGCCCTGGGTTCCTCTTGAGGGCTTCTGGCCCTCCCCATCTTGGGTCTCTCACCTCCAAGTCCTCAGTTGATCCTTGGAGACCTTACCAACTCTCTGTCCTTGGCTTTAGAAAATCACCATTACTGTTAATGTCAATCTTGTCTTCTTAATATCTCCCAGCAGCACTGTGGCCTCTGGAAGCACCCTCCCTGCCTGCATCTCTCTTCAGTGTTCATTTGCGGGGCATCTTGTGTGAATATGCCCAGCCAATCAGCTTTGTGATAGAGTGCTTACATCAACAGTCTCTATGTTGGTTCTCTGGAGCGGAGGAAGTAGAAAGAGAAGGAGAAAGAGAAAGAGAGATAGAAAGACAGAGCTAGAAGAAGAAGAGGCACACAGAGAGGAAGATACATAAGAGAAAAACAGATACAAGAGCTAGACAGACAGTACCAAAACAGAGGACAGAGACATGGAAAGAGGCAGTGAAGGATACTGATGGGGTTAGCTTTCTCTCTTTCCCAGGTGTCTAGGATCTGCTGAAACTCTTGGAAGGCAAGGGAGACAGGGCTGAGGCTAGATCACAGCATTTCCACATTAGGCTGGAGGTTCCCAGTCATTCATTACAGACTGGCACCAGGATTCTCATTTTGTTTGTCCTATATGTTGCCCCTCGCCCTCTTTTATGAGGGTAAGCTCTGTGCACATGAGCCCGATGCTCCTCTCGTGGGCTCCAGTCAGAAAGACGCGGAGACTCCTGATGCGTGGAACTGTTCTAGTCTCTGCTCATGAGCTCCTTTAGATGACACTCACAAACAGAGTGCGTCCATTGGGGTTGGCCATCACTCATTAGTCCATCAATCTTCTACTATGTTGGCTTCAGGGCTGGAAATCAGAGGGACACAGCCCTGTCCTTGTGGGTGAGTTTCCAGTCTGCTGTGGGTGAACATAGTTAACACACACACAAACACACACTATTGCACTATTGCCCAGATACAGAATGAGCAACTAGCTAACATAGAGATGGGCAGTGGTGGGCACGGGCAGCAGGGAAGATGGACGCTTCTCTGTGGATGGTGAGAGGGCCATATGCTAAGTCTATCAATCAACACATAGATAAATGCTAGAGGGACCTTGGAGCAGGGCAATAGGAGGGAAGGGGATGGATGGATATTCATGTCTCTTTCTTCTGTCCTTTCCCTCCTGCTGAGCCATCTCTTGCTTGCTGAGAGGTGGGCCAGGGCTGCATGATACAACAAAGCCTCTTTACCTCTCAGATAGAGATACAGTGCAGAGCCAAATGTGGAATGCTCTGATCATTGCAAAGGACTCTACCTGGCCCTCCACCCCATTCCCCTGATCATTCCAGCGAGGGCAGAGCTGCACGGATGCAGGGCACCAGGGCCAAGTGAGTACTGACATACAGCAGGAGACTTGCCCTGCTCTCCCAGCCTCATCTCCACCCATGCCCCTCTCTATGCTCAGACTGCTTCTATCAGGTCCAAGGAAGGCAAGAGACCTGAGGACAGGAACTCTGCAGGGGGCTAAGGGAACTTTCCCTGCTGGTTCCAGAAGGCAGCTGTCTTCCCCAGACTCCCTGAATTCCCAATGAGCATAGACCCACCCTTCCTACACAGCATCTGCTTTTAAGTAAGCAGTTAATCAAAAGCATGTCGTGATTCATGTCTGTTTAGAATGCTTTCTTTGGAGCAGTTTGCCGATTCACTCTGTCATAAAGCTTCTGGTTGTTTGTTTGTTTCCAGCCTAAGTAGCTTAGCCCACAGAAATGAACCAAACTTCTGGCATCTTCCTTCTCTTCTGCTTGTGTTGTCTGTGAAGAAGGCAGGCTCTTGCTTCACTCTGGGCTGAGACAATGGATGAGTTATTCAGAGGTCTTCAGGAATGCTGCAAAATTCTAGAATGCGTCACCAGGCTTTCAGGGCACAAAACATAGGTGGTTTCCGGTATTGTCTGAGTTTGCAGCTTGTGCGCTCGTGCCAGGAGGTGGTGGGAAGAGGCTCCAACAAGAGCTGCCATCTTTCCTGTCACCCAACCAACAAACCAACAAAAGAGTGGGCTGCTCTCAAGTCATTCTACAAAGATCTCAGCTAACAAGCATGCAGCAGCCAGTCTAAAGAGCTTCCCACACGGCCAGGAAGCCCAAGCTAGGGAGCTGTCTGTGCACCACTCTCCCGGAACTGATGGGTCAAAAGTACCTCTTGCCTTGCACTTTGCCAAAAGAGGGCTCTCACTATTCCAAGCAGAAGTGAGACGTGGCCAGCCAGGTGCAGGTATGCTCACATGACCCCTTTTGAGGACTGTTCGCGTCAGTTGCCAGCTAAGCACTAGAGCTGTGTCTGCCTTGGCAAGTTGTATGCACTATTGCCCAGATACAGAATGAATCATAAGCTAACAGGGGGTTCTTCATGGCAGTGGTGGGCGTGGCAGCAGGGAAGGTGGAAGCTGACTGGATTGCTGATGGCCAGTTGAGAGGACTGTGTGCAAAACAGACAGCCACGGCACCCCGGAAGAACCGCCCCTCGGCTTTGACGTGAATGGAGTAGAGAATGGATCCTCCCAGGAACCCCATCACCTGTGCTCTTGGTGGATTCGTCCCTCCTCCCTTGTGTCCTAGTCCCCCGGGAGTGCCCGGGCATCAAGTCAAGAGACTTCTTTTTGAGCAGTCTCATGAATCCTCATCACATATGGGGCAGCCTGGGCCAAAGAGATGGCAACAGAGCCAACCTTAAGCATGCAGGACACTATCG